ATTTTTTGACATCCTATTTCCTTTGCTTTTCTTATTGTAATGGAGGATACAGCAAACATTTGCTTTGTTAGGCAAGTAAAATATCATGTTCTATTGTTTATGGTATCCTTATCCAGGGATCAGGTGCCCACAAAGTTTTCACAAAGATCTTAAGTTGAACTTATCTCTAAGTTTGACTTAACAATTATGGAAAGCCATTAACATCTTTGAAAATATTAAATAAAAGTTATTTTAAAAGGCATAAAATGTTGATTCAAATCAGTTCAAATTTGTTATTATCAAGGAGATTTCATGTTCTTGATGTGGAATTTATGAAAAATTTAAAACACTTGAATTTCTGCTTTTGAATATATTTCATTTTAAGGCTACAAATGGCTCTCCATAATTTTTAAGTACAACTTAGAGTTAGGTTCTACTCAGGATCTTTGTGAAACACCACCCAGGACATGTATGGGCACCCAAATTCTAAGTTCAGACCCCTTAATTTGAACTTAGAGCTCATGATGTATCCAGAATCTGTAAGGGTTCAATCTGGACCCCCTTCCAAAAAGTTATCTTACACTCATTCACAAGAATCAATTTGTCGTCTCATATTTCCTGAAAGGTAAAGAACAGTTTTTGGAAAAGCCCCCCTTTCAAAAAATCTTATTACCAATCATGTGAAAGAATATGTTTTGACTAATACGTGATCATACAAATTTTGCCCAGAAACCGCCTACTAGTTGATATATATTTGGTTAATTTATATATCTATTTGGACCTGATAGATATCGGGCACGTGTCGCGCACGTGTCGTGTAGTCCCATACACATCTTTCTGTGTACAGTGCTTGTAACTTTAACAAGACTGGGCCAAATTTCTTATCATTTTGATGATTCCAGAACCTTGCAGTACACACCAATGCTTATATGCTAGATGATCAACCTTTTCTGATCGATTTCTCAACGTTTTTTTCAAAATGCAATCGCATGACCTTAACTGGTCTTTATCTTTAAATGGAGTAAAAAGCAAAAAAGGGAAAGGGGGAAGGAATTCCCAAGACCTTGTCCAGCTGCATTTTATCCATCTCGTTTGCTATCTGAGAATTTATCATGAAAATGGTGATTGATCTCTAGTTATCTTTAGTCTTGTTTTGCATCATCCCAAATATAACATGAGCAGGCTGACTCAACGTCTGCTCTGGCAACATTTGGGAGTAGGATTTAGGGTTAGGGTTTGATTTAGGTAATAGTATTTGGTCCAGGGATGAAGAGAGGAAATCAGTTATTGTAGACTATTGACCATGGGTCGATTATGTCGGAGCATATCTCAAAGAACAAACTAAAAAACAAAATCCAAAATGCATTGAGTGTTAATTAACAGCCCTTTAAGCCTTAAGCACTGCATTTCCTTATTTCTTATAGTTATCTGTCACTGTATGGCAAAACAGATTGCTGGATTTATATTTCAAGAAGTGCATTATTAAAATCATTTAGAAAATGAAACTAGACAATGAAAGTAGAAAAGTGTTTTGGTGTGCAAAACATGAGGAAAACATGAGGAAAACATCTGCTGACAACATCACAGATTCGCTACGTCACTCCTCAGGATATGTGTTCTCATTTGCCCAAACTAAGCTAGCTTTTATATTTCACTGAATGACAGTTTAAGGCTTGTTATCATATTTAGGACAAGGGGAGACAACCAACCCTCTTTCAGATTCCTAAGTATCTTCAGTTTCTCTTTTGGATATTTCTTTGAAATGCTTGAAATTGCCCTCCCCCCCCCCCCCCCCAATGGATTGCTACACGGATGTAGAAATGTACGCAATGAGGCTCATCCTATGAAATATCAAACACAAAATTAAGATTAATTCTCCATATTACACAAAAAACATTGGAAATTAGTCTTCAAGACCAAAATTGGAACTCATTACAAATTTGTAGAGGATTTACTAATCTTGCTCTTTGTGTATAAATGTATACATGTAAAGACAAAATATTTTCAGTAGAAATAGTAGAAAGTAAACGATGACTGTAATGAAGTAATGAAGTTGCATTTCAAGAGAGATCAGCTGACAGCTATTTGTAATATTGTTTATCATAGAAAAGATTGATAATTTGGACCAGCAAAATGTCTAAGTCACTGAAACTATTACCTTTAGTCTTTGAGACATTGATTAGACTATCTTTATACACTCACAATTCAGCTTCTATTGGTTTTCAACCATAATTCTTTGACATATATGATGTATCTGTGGTCTTTAAGAAACCAGTGTCTAATTGTTAGAATCTTTTTAATATTATATTTTCCTCTGTTGAACACCGTCACTACATGGTACATGTGCTACCTTCAAGTGCTGACAAATTGAACCGTCATTCTCTAAGAGCAGAATGGCACACCTAGCTTCATGCATGCCCCTTATTGAAGCAGGTGTAATACTTGAGCATATACCACCTGTCTTTAAATAACTAGCAAGTATGGTCACTCTACCATTGCAAGGCTAGCAATACTGATTTATATGCTAGACCAGGAGCTGATCTAGGGATTTTGGGGGGTGCTGGGGGGGGGGGGGTGTGATTTGGTGAGTGAAGAAAGAAAAGTGTGAAAACAAACTTTTTAAAGGTAATACAAAGTTTTGGGAAATTTTGCAAATTGGCTTGATAGTGATTCTTTACAATGTTGATATATTTGGATGCCCCTGTGGATGTATTGTAAGCACAAGAAAATTTAGTCCCCAAAACACTTCTGTTTTCGAGATAAATTGAATATAAAAATTTACCGGTGCTCCCGGTAAATTTTGGGAAATTTCAAATAGCGCGCCATACAATGGTAGCTGCGACCATGAAAATATTAGAATATTAGTTGTGATATATAATTTCCAAACGGGACTAGCCAATCGGTCAAGAAACATTGTTTTATAGCTAAAATCAGAATATTGACCTTGAGAGGGAGCTATACAACATAAACAGTTTATTCTTACAATTTCATCACTTTAGACTCAATTTCAACTGCGCCAACGTTCACTGAATACTGTTGGATCGCATATGCTTCCAATATGTTCATTTGAACCAAATTCATGACCCCATACCAAAACTTTGTATTACCTTTAAAGTATTTTTTTTTTTTTTTTTTTACTATCTAGAATTTTTTTTTTAACTAGAAAGCTTCTTTTTATGTTTTATTATAAATAATCTTGTTAAGTGACAAACAAGATACATGCTTTCTGCCTGTAAGATAACTTCATCTTGTAGAAAGCTACTATACAAAAGTGATTTCTAGGTGATCAGTTCCTGTTTAAAGAAATGTAATATACTTCATATACAGTCTTCATTTACAAATGAATCAATGAAAAGTCAGAAAAAATTTCATCAAAGTCATTAATCCATTTTGTTTTGATTCAAACAGCTCTACCAGTACCAGCACTACCACCACACCCTGCTACTCCCACCCTAACGGTTACAGGGGCGGGGTCCTATACAGCACCCCCTCTGCCCTCCATCTCCAGTATCCCCGCCCTCCATGGGAGCGGTGGATCCAGCATCTCCTTCCCTCCCAGATCGGCGGAGCACAGCGGCTCCGGGCTTGAGGAGCCGGAGATCTACGATGATGTATCGGCCGTGAGTATAGGCTCCTCCTCATTTAAGGGCTATTCACATCACTGGGGGTGTTTCACTTGGACTAAACGACTATGGAAATCCGTTAGCATCTTTGAAAGTATTTTGTTAAAGTTATTTTAAAAGTCATAAAATGTTGATTCAAATCATTCATATTTTCTATTAACAAGGAGATTTCACGTTCTTGATGTGGAATTTATAAATAGTCTAAAATACTTGCATTTTTGCTTTTGAATATATTTCATTTTAAGGCTTCAAATGGCTTCCCATAATTTTTAAGTCCAATTTAGAGTTAAGTTCGATGTAGGATCTTTGTGAAATACCCCCCTGGAGAATCTAGGGTTTGTAAAGAAGGAGGCACTATTTAAACAAAAATTATGCCAAGTATTGAAAACAAGTTTTATCACATTTATCAGATGTGTTTGGGGTCAAAATTTTGAAAAGGGAGAGGGCACATTTAGGGTTTTATACTTCAAAATGCAGGGAGGGGGAAAGGGCAAGTTAAGTGTGCCCTCTTAACTCAGCTAGTATTTCACATTTGTGAGGTTCAAGATTGTTGTTTTAAATTGTGATTGCAATGTCACTTTTTATTCATGTTAAATCTAAAACCAAATTTTAGTAACTGTTGAACAAGGAAAGAAAACCTTAAGCCAGTCTCTTGAAAACTCTTTAGGGTGATTTCTCCAAGAGTTAGTGGCATAGAAGGGATTTAATTTAGTTGTGAATTTGATTTGCCATACACGTAATTTTACAGGACTGTATGGTTTGTTCATTTAAGAAATGAAGCCCCTAAATTTCTTATTGATAATGATTTTTGTCTTGCAATGTCATTTTTTCCTTTTGACAGGATGGAGAATCGGATGAATTATATGAGGCATTGGATGTAGATGAAGAAAGGTATTGATATTCATTTCCTCTCTTACAAAAAAAATTGTAATTCCTGTGTCCATGTTCATATCCTTTTCAGAATTTTCAAATGTATTGCTTTCAAGAATATTTGTACTCTAAATCCCCCCTCCCCTTAAGATACCATAGTTGCTAATTTTAAGAGGAACATATGACCATTTTATCCATAAGATTACAGACAGTATATTTCATATTTCCTCAAAATTTTACCAATCTGTTTCTCTAATTTTTCTGCTTTTATTAAAATCAAGTCATTAGGCTGGAGTTCCCCATTATATGGCAACTTAATAGCATGACGTTTTACTTTTTGGTAGCAGCAAATTAACAATAATATGAATTATTCTGTTACAGGACGGCAGAAGCGGAACTGGAACAGGAAAGGGAAGAAAAGAAGAAACAAGAAGAAAAGAGGAGAAAGGAGGAAGAAAGATTGAGGAAAGAGCAAGAGAAACAGCAGAAGAAGGAGGAGGAGAAAAGGAAAAAGAAAGAAAAGGAAGAAAAGAAGAAGAAGGAGAAAGAAGAGAAGGACTTAAAGAAAAGGTTCAATGTAAGTACGATGCATTCAGCGAGTATTTTGAAAAGTTTTGATGAATCAGCTCTTCCTCTTTGAATGGGCAACTTCAATATTTGTTTCTGTCTGCGTTGCATTCTTTTGATGGACTGGTGTAAATTTAGAATGCACGGGCCTCATTTAATGCTGTTTGATATAAGAATGGACAATTTTGATGATGTATTTGACAGTTTGAAAATGTAACTAGTTTAACAAGTTTCCTTTCTGAAATAATGGAGGAACTGCAACTTTTAACTTGGAAATTTCCAAGAGAGTTTTAAACTAACATGCAAGGGTTACTTGAGATAGGAAAAGTCCCTTTGAGTTACTCTTGAAAGGTTATTGATTGTCACAACAAGAACTGGCCATTTAGAAGGAAGTCATTGAAATAAACATAATAATCTGAAGCAGAAGGGATAAGATGACAATTTGTTGTTATTAAAGACAATAAAGAGCAAGAGAGGGGGAGTGAGAAGGAAATATTGTAAGGGACATTCAGATGAATTTTCATGCATCAAAGTTCCCTTTGAAATAATGTTTGTATTCTGCTTGTAAGTGTCGGCTTGCATGGTGATGTAGATATACAGTAGGCTTGCGGGTGCACCATGTGAGAGAGAGGGAGGATTGAGGAGTCCTGAAAAGGACTCTCGGTAATCTTTCTTGGAGAGCCACTCCTGCCATTCATCCTCTCCAAGCGCTATAGTTCTCCTTAGAACTATAAGCTAAGAAAGATAACCAACAGTCTTTTTCAAGACTTTACCATTAGTCCTTTTCAGGACTAACAAACCCTCAAGAAAGATTACAGAGAGTCCTTTTCAGGACTCCTCAATCCTCCCTCTCTCTCACATGGTGCACCCGCAAGCCTACTGTATAATGTTTGTATTGTTTATCATTGTATTGAGTATTTAAAGAGCCAGAAGAGGGTTAATTTTGGATAAAGTTTATAGGCTCGTGCCTTCTGGCTCCAAACTAATGATAGGATGTTCAGACATTTTGAATTATGGACCTGTACTTTTCAAAACAATTTAGGATACAAACATATGGATGTGGTTAGCACGTCTTTATTTGAAAAAATATTTGAAATTTAAGGAGTGCCTCTTACCATGTATTGGAAGAGTTGGAGTATTACAATGGGAGGTACAAAGTATGTCTGATGTTCTTTCTTTTGATGTCTTATGTGATTGAGGCAACATTTTTCATTTCGTTATGTGCTGAGAAATGGGTAATGAAGAGAGTATCTGTGAAGTTATGTTTTATTTAAAGCTATACTGTGCTAGGAGCACTACGGCAAAATTTCCTCTATAGTGAGTTAGCACCATCTCAGGTCAGCTGTAGCAGTGTGGTTCCGTAACTCGCTGCTTCCCTAGCTGCGCTGTTGGTTTTCAAATACCGTAATTAATGGTGTATAAACCGCCCTCGTGTATTTACCGCACCCCTCTTTTTCGCCCTAAAAAAAAGAAAAAAGGATAGAACCTTGTGGTACGCCGTGTAATAGAAAAAAAAATTGGAGGAATTATTATTATAAACTACATATTGAGATCTATCAGAAAGATTACTTTTGAACCAAGATGACAGACAAATTTGAGTGTTGTTCTAGTTTCCGAGTGGTGAGTCAACACACCGATTACTGAGCTGGGAGACATTGCCAGGCATAGCACCAGGTGGAGGGCTATAAATCGAAACTTGATTTAAAAAAAAAAATTGTATTGTGTACCTTGTATAAGACGCACCCCCCACTTTGAATTTGTTTTAGGCGGCAAAAAAGTGCAGTTAATTACGGTATATCAATTCCTCTTGTCTTCAAAGTGGAAATTAGGTATTGGGTTATGCACTGTTGAGAGTCAAAAGGATACAAGAGATAGAGGAATATAAAAGATGAAATACATGATAATAAGAGTGAAGCAACAATTCAAGTTATAAAGGCTGCTTATAAGTATTGGCTTGCATGGTGATGTAGATATAAACAGGTTTACTGTTGCACCATGTGAGAGGGGGGGGGGGGGGGAATTGGGGAGTCCTGAAAAGGACTGTCGGTTATCTTTCTTTCTTGAATGTGTGTGTAGTCCTAAAAATTAAAATGATATTGATAATTATATCTGCTCATTGAATGACAATATCATAAAAACAAGCTCATTGCAAATCAACATTGTGCTCTCTCTTACATGTAGCTCAAAGGAGAGATCAACATCATCGATGAGGGTATCGTCCTGGAGGCTATGGACGCTGAGTATGAGAAGTACAGCCTCCAGTGTAACATAGGGGAGAAGATTGAGATCCTTAGGAAAGAAGGGAATCCCCCTGGCAAGTGGCTGGCAAGGAATCCAGACGGACATTGTAAGTTACCATTCCATACAGGAAGCCTGCCCTCGCACGAAATTGTCTGTTTTGAGCCAGAATGATGTTAACTCTGTGTGAAGTGGTATGAGTTAAAACACACTGGCTCCAAACAGACAATGGGGTTTTCCAATTAAATCCAATAAAATCTAGAATTTTCAATGTGCCAAGATTTACTGGAATAAAAAACTGGAGACCATAGTTGGTCTGTAATTTTCTGTAGTTATTTTCTGGTATGCATTATCACCCTTGGACTCCAATCAGACAAAATATTGGTTTACCCAATGGGGTTTTCCAATTCAATCCAGTTAAATCTAAAGTGTGTAATCTGCCAAGATTTACTGGAATAAAAGCCAGGAGACCACAGTTGGTGATTATCCTGTTAATGGTTTATGAGGAAGTGATCTGCAATTATCTCTAGTTATTAGCTAGATTTGTCATCAGTTTTGATACTTTTGAAAGTAAAGTCCATAAAGGGATTAGAATATATATTATAGGCTGAAATACTGAGGCATTTTAGGTCCTGGGCATACAGTTAGGAATAGTAACACAATGATGTATAATAATAGCATGCAAGACAGAGGAATTAAAGTCATGTGCATTCAGAATATGTATGCATTGATGTAGAGAAATTGCTAGGATAGGTTGACATAATATCTACATTTCTGTTTTTAACATTTAAATTAAAAGATTGTATGCAGTGTTCAAGTATTGAAGATAAAGACTGAATATCAAAGTTAATTGCTGATATACAATGTTATGATATTATATTTGTCATAAATAAAAGTATATTTGGTGACACTGTAAGATTTACAGCTTGTTCAGATATGAAATTATATACCACTACTTAAGAAAATAAAATATTGTGTAAATGAATATCAACTGCATGCAACAATGTTCCTGTGCATATTCAATTACATGTAGCTCTTTGTTATAAGATACAGAAATACCTTGTAACAAATATAATATCACAACATTTGTATCAACAATTAACTCTAATATTCAGTCTTTGTCTTCAATAATTGAACACTGCGTACATTTTGTTTACACTTCAATCTTCAAAACAGACCTGAAGATATACATCTAGCATTTTACACTTACTTTGTTTTACTAAAAATGTGCAGATGTTTACCTTGTATCTGAAGAAGAACTTGAAACACATCGCTATTTAAAAATGTGACCTCCTATCCATTGTTTTCTTTTGATTGTTTTTTTTGTTTCTAGATGGTTATGTGGATCATCAGTTTGTGAGACTAGAAGAATTTGATGCAGGGGAGGTGTATGACGATGTGATGGGTAAGAATCTTTGAACTTTTACTTTTGGTAATCATAAACCATAGCTGCCAATCTATCCTATTGGGGACGAATGATTCCTAGGTTTCGGGCCTTCAAGATATTGTTTTGACCCCTAGATTTCTCTCTTCGTCTGAATTATTCTGTGTGAAAGTAAACAAAATAGACTGTATTCCTAATTTTGCTTAGAGAGATTCCTAATTTTTGCTGTGAAAGGTCTGCGGGTATGATAAACTTCTGTAAGGGATAACAATGGAAGGTGGGATTTCAAAAGGTTTTTGTGAGGGTATTGCTCAATCACAATCCCACAGTAGTAGCAAGTTACTTTAAAAGCAAAACCTGAAAGCAGAGAATTGAGTGAAAATATAAACAAGATTAGAAAAACATATAGTGATGAATTTTAAGATTTTTAGACCACTAAATGCAAGGAAGTCTCAAATTGGATTGGCAAATGTTTCATTCAGCTGTGATGTTATTAGGGTCAAAGGTCGCATTTGTTATTACGCAAAGAAGAAAACAAATATCATATTCTCTCACAGGTACCTTTCCCTTCACTACATGTATATCTATATAGAGTGGTAAAGTGTGAAGTTATCAAAAATCTATTTTTTAGAATTTCTCAATTTTTTCCTCATATTCCGAAAGAACACCAAAAATAATTTCCAAATGTCGAAAAACAATTGAATATGTCAAGTACTGGCTGAGTTATGACCATCTGAAGAATATATGTCCTATGGGAATTCAATCAGTGTTATATGCTCTAGCTCCTAACCATTAGAAGCCAGAGCATATAACACTGAGTTCCTATGGGGAGTAAATTTATTCAGATGGTCATATCTCAGCCAATATTTAACATATTCAATTGGTTTTTCGAAATTTGGACATCATTTTTGATGTTCTTTCGGATTAAGAAAAAATTGAGAAATTCTAAAAAATAGATTTTTATGACGTCACAGCTTCGGTACTCTATTGTGGGTAGCATGTTGTTAAAGATCCTCCAATAAAGAAAGGATCGTATTAAATCTCATAAGATTCTTATTGTTAATTTAAGGGGAAGAACTTATTTTATTTAATCAATGTTGTTCAAACTTTAATATATGTGTTTCTCATATATTTCATTATGAAACTTGCTTTCAAGGTTTTTGAAAGAGCCTGTAAGTATTCTGTCTGACACAAATGTAATATTTTTGAAAACCTCTATATATCATTTTTTACTTCATTTTTGTTGTTGACATGGGACAATTTATTTCTTCAATAATTTATTCATCTTCATCTTTAATAAACTCATTGGTTTTGTTAATCTTCCTTTATCACTAAATGTTTAATCACAAGAACTTTTCTGTATAATGTGAGATTTCTCATTTTCCATAATCCAAGGTATTCTTTTTTTTCTCTACAGTACTTTAATTTCCCAGTTTAAATTTTGAATGTCAAATTTTTTTTTTTACTTTGATACAGAAAACCTAATTTTCCATCCTGGGAAGAGATTAATGTTTTACACGGATTGTGTTTGAGTGTAAGCTCATGTCCCAAATGACCCCGAATATCCACAGATCTTCAAAACATGAAGAGGTCCCAATTTTTGTACATTTTGAAATAATCACTCCTATAGCGATGGAGGTGCTACATAAATATCCTTTGTTTCCCCTTTTCAAAGAATACCTCCACCTGTGTATCATGGAGTGCACTGCTTGTGCATAAATGAATAATGATAACATAACACTCATGAGCACGCATCCAGTATTTTGTCTCCGTGTATTTCACAATTTGGTCTGCAATCACATTTATCTCCTTATGCTCAGACTGATTGGTATTGATTGATTGCTTCAAAAGTTATAATTTGTATTTTTTTGGAAAAAATAATATTCTCAATTTCTAGAAGAAGAAAAACAAACTGTCAAACCAATTGAACCAGTCAAAAGTGAGTATTTAAATGTGGGGAAATATTCTTTGGTTTCCATGCTTTTCACTTCAATGCAGCATCTACATCATATTCAAATATCTTCTATTCGTCAGAGAATATATGGAAACTGTCTGTCATTAACTAGAATGCTATTTGTTCTATATTATTGCTTGTCAGGCACTTGTCTTCTTGTATGTGGTTTACTATACCTTTTTATGCCTCCGCCACCGAAGGTGGTGCCGGAGGCATCATGTTTTCGGGTTGTCCGTCCGTACGTCCGTACGTCCGTACGTCCGTCCGTCCGTACGTCCCGTTTGACCGTTATCACAATATCTCAAGAACCATTTAAGATTTAAACTTAAGACTCGGGAATAGTATTTATCACCATAGGAAGACGATCTGATTAGATTTTGGAGTACGTAGGTCAAAGGTCACAGGTCACAGAGGTCAACTTATGAAATTCCTTGTATTGAGTTTGTTAGCGCGATATCTCAAGAACCATTTGAGATTTAAACTTCAAACTTAAGGATAGTATGTATCACCATAGGATGACGATCTGATTAGATTTTGGAGCACGTATGTCAAAGGTCAAGGGTCACAGAGGTCAACTTATGAAATTCCATACATTGAGATTGTTATCATGATATCTCAAGAACCACTGGAGATTTAAACTTCAAACTTAGTGATAGTGTGTATCACTATACGAAAACAATCTGATTAGATTTTGGAGCACGTATGTCAAAGGTCAAGGGTAACAGAGGTCAACTTATGGAATTTCATACATTGAGATTGTTATCATGATATCTCAAGAACCACTGGAGATTTAAACTTCAAACTTAGTGATAGTGTGTATCACCATAGGAAGACGATCTGATTAGATTTTGGAGCACGTAGGTCAAAGGTCAAGGGTCACAGAGGTCAACTTATGAAATTCCATACATTGAGATTGTTATCATAATATCTCAAGAACCACTGGAGATTTAAACTTCAAACTTAGTGATAGTGTGTATCACCATAGGAAGACGATCTGATTAGATTTTGGAGCACGTAGGTCAAAGGTCAAGGGTCACAGAGGTCAACTTATGAAATTCCATACATTGAGATTGTTATCATAATATCTCAAGAACCACTGGAGATTTAAACTTCAAACTTAATGATAGTGTGTATCACCATAGGAAGACAATCTGATTAGATTTTTGAGCACGTAGGTCAAAGGTCAAAGGCCACAGCGCACATTATGAATGCAAAAACAGCTTGTGATCGCGTTATCTCAAGAACCGATTGATGGATTCATGCCAAAATTAGGTCATGTTTGTTACTTGCAGAGCCAATGAACTGAGTAGATTCTTGGTTCATAAGGTCAAAGGTCAAAGGTCATGGGCCCATTATGTATGCAAAAATAGCTTGTGAACGCATTCTCATTAGAACTGACAGATGGATTACTATTTAACTCAGAACATCTTGCAGAGCCAATGAACTGAGTAGATTTTATGGTCATGAGGTCAAAGATCAAAGGGTCATATATGTATATGAGAAATTGCTTGTAATCACAATATTCTGAGAACCTGTCAATGGATTACCATTGAACGTGAATTCAATTTTTTTTTTCTGTTTTGGTTTGTAAAATTGCTCTATAACGGAGGCATCATTTTCGACTGCGCGCAGTCGAATTCCATCTAGTTTCTATCTGTTTTTGAGCAATTTGCCTTATATTTCAACTTTAAAATACAGACGCAATTCTCTTTCTGATCTGTTAAGTTGAAAAGTATGTATATCTCAGCTCCTGTTCTCTTTTGCGTGGTTTAATATCTTTTTTATCTGTTCTGTTGAATAAGTATGTATGTTCTCTTTTCATGGTTTACTTATCTTTTCTGTTAAGTCGAAAAGTTTGTATATACACAGCTCCTTTAATCCTTTCATGGTTTACTTATCTTTTCTATCTGTTCTGTTGAATCTTGGTATATGGCTCAGTTCTTAACAGACCTTTTTTCTGCAGTGTACTTTATTTATGTCCCTGTTAATAATTAAATCTTAACTCATAATGGGTTCTATTCTCTCTCTGTTCAATTGAATATGACTATTGTATCAATTCATAATGGATGCTATTCTCTGTCCAGTCAGTAACAGGCACTATTATCTTATACAAACTTTTGAACAGGCTTCCTCTTTTTGTGGTTTACTAGACTTTCTGTCATTGGAATTGCATCTGTCTTTCTGCCCTCAATCATAACAAAATATATTCTCTTGCTGGTGATGTTTACTAGAGTAGTATGTCTGAATTGTATGTCTGCACTCCTAACAGTTACTCTAAGTTCTGTCGTTTACTAGACTTTTTAGATCTGTTCATTAGCAACTGGCTGTATGTTTCAAAAATGTCTCCAAGCGCTAGCCTTTGCCAATGCTGGTATAAATACTTTGAATCAATAAGTATACTAAGTGCTTGCTATGTTTCGAAATTTGTAACCATTGAGCAAGATTAAGAATTGTAGTAGAGCACTGGAAGTTAGTGTGTCTTGAAAAAGAAAAAAAATCTCTGAGGTTTCGGAGGCACAATGTATTATGGGAATGTATATTGCCATGAGCGGTAACAAGAATTAAGCTTATGCCTTTCACCTATCAGCAGATGATATTTCCTTCCCTGTTTCTGATCTCTGCGGAATGTAAACATTGATTTTCTTCTTTCACTTTCCATTTAGGTTTCCAGTTAGATATTCGATAAGGCATTGGCGCTAAATTTTATGTATGTATGACTTGATGTAATGATTTAACAATTGGCCTGTGCTCACTTTCTATAACTTTAGTAGCAACCCCACATATACAAAATAAAAATATATTTCTTTATCTGTTTCTTGTTTCCCATTTAGAACAAAAATGGCCTCTGAATAATTTTTCTTTTTGTTGTTGCATCTATTAGCACTGAAAAAGTATAATGTTTATATCAATAGCTTTACAATTAAGCCCCCCCCCCCCCCTCTTTTTACTACTTCTAGTACAGTATGGCTTTATGACACTAGGGGAAATCTCTTCCTCTTAATATTGATTTTTATAAAGGAGAATTCGCAGAAGACAAGATTTGAGTAATCTGCACTCCCAAGGATTTTAACAAGGATATCTCCTAGACGTCTGCTGTATAAAGCTCTTGCTAGACATTTTATTAATGAAGGCTGTTTTTCTATGAAGAAAAAAAGTTTTAGAGCCTTTAATTCTAGTTAATTATCTTTTGGAAGTCTACAAGGGGCATACCCTAGCTTTATCTAATCAAGTTCAAGTTCAAGTCTATGTAGTTCACATCTTAACATGACAAACCGTACACAAAGTTAAAGATGATACAATTCATACATAAATTAACATAACTAGTACTTAAATATACGATACATGTATTTTCATGACAATTTATTTTCATGATAATACATGCATTTTCATGACAACAGCAACAAATGCAAAAGAAAAAAGGGAAAATATTTGGCTTATTTCTGAAGAATCTTTGTCTTTTATGGTAGAGGAGAGGAGAGGAGAGGAGAGGAGAGGAGAGGAGAGGAGAGGAGAGGAGAGGAGAGGAGAGGAGAGGAGAGAGGGAAGGGAGATAGATAGATAGAGAAGAGAAGGGAGGGACAGAGAAGAGAAGGGATAAGAAGAGAAGAGAAGAGAAGAAGGGAGAGAGGATAGGAGAGGAGAGGAGATAGATAGAGAAGAGAAGGGAGAGACAGAGAAGAGAAGGGATAGAGAGAGAGGTATATCTATATATTATAGATAATGGGGAGGGTAAGCAGTCAGGGGAAGAAAGTGGGAAACTTTTGAACTTTCGGTCGGCTATATAATTTAAATCATATGTGAACTGTCACTCCGGCGACAGGGAGTTCTGTTCTCACCGGGCTCTATATATGATTCATCTGTTTACAAGTATATGCCAGTCACCAGAGCATGTAATAACATTTGTGGGATTCTGTTACAGTTGGGTTATTTTTAGGACTTCCTCTTTCTAGATGCATAAAATATTGCTGTTCGGTGGACAAAAAATACTAGCCCCCCCCCCCCCCTCCTCCTTCTCCATTTTCCCCATATTCCTTTCGATATAAAACATTTAATACTACGAGGATGAATTATATACTTGCACTGACTTAACAATTACGGACTTGTGTTTTCCCCACCTGGTTCTATTCTCTATGATCTTCTCCAGGAGTTCTCCAGGAGTTCTCCAGCCTTGCTTGATAAGTATTTTTCATAATGCCTTTGATTCAACAAAATAAAAGATTCCCCACCCCCCCCCCCCCCCTCTCTCTCTCTCTCTCTCTCTACTATCTTGTATTCCATTATCCCTTTGGATGGACAAAATTAATAGATAGTTCCCCAATTCTCTTCCATATTCCATTCAACACAAAAGTTCATGAAAATTATTGTCCCTACTCTCTCTCTCTCTCTCTTTCTCTCTCTCATTCTCTCTCTCTCTTTCTCTCTCTCTCTCTCTCTCTCTTTCCTATCTCTCTCTCTCTCTCTCTCTCTCTCCCTCCCTCTCTCTCCCTCCCTCTCTCTCCCCTCCCCCCCCCCCTCTCTCTCTCTCTTTCTTTCATATTTCAATCAACATGAAACTGTGATTATGTGTTTCAAAACAATTATCATTGTCAATGGTGTATCCAGGATTCTGTGACCTTGCAGTGAGGATCAAGGCACTCTTTCTAATTCTGACAAGATAATAATGAATTGACTAAAATTAATCACAGTTTCAGGGGTCATGCTAGGGGCATGCCCTTTTTTCTTCCTATTAAGCATGTACCATACCTGGGGGGTGGGGGGGGGGTGCTTCAAAAAGACTCAGATCAACTTTAAGTTGGGCTTAACTAAGGCAGGCCTTTCATGCCACTGTTTGGTCTCACTGTTTACTGGCATTTGTCTCTCAAGGGACGTACAAATTAATCATGGTCACAAATCTACAGAATTTACATTTTTTTGAGAATTCATTATTGAAGGAAAATACAATATCTAAAGATCATAATGGGGGAGCAAAAAGTGGTATGAATGGCCTGTCATATCGTTAAGTTCAACATCTTTGTGAAACACTCCCCTGTACCATGTACCAGATTAGGTTTGTATACGTGTGGAACGGGGGAGGGGGGGGGGGGGGGTTAGGGGGCGTACATGTTCCTCTGGATGCTGGATCTGCATAAGATTCTATTGCTTTCCCAAAGAAAAAGAGGGACATTGAAGAATAGGCACATGAACCATTTTATTGCTTTGAATAATGAGAATAGAGGAGGAAGTTTGTAACCAAAATTCTAGAGAGGTCATGGTAGAACCCAATCAACATTCAGTTCAATCTATAACATGATATTGCGGGTGATCAACGGAGGTAATAGGCTGAATAATGAGTTTGTGATTTTTCAAAAGAATCTTGTTTTGATAAAGGAGGAAGTTTGTAACACAAGGATAGAATCGTGATACAGGTAAAGGGGAGTGGAATGTAACCAAATATGATTGAGTTGTATATCCATGAAGTATAGGAGTGTATAGAAGGTGCAGAACCAAACGCTATGTGTAGTAGTCTTGAGGTGTTAAAGCCCCACTGTACTACTTGTAGCTACTTGCTCCCTCTATATAGAAAACAATGCCTAATCGGTGACCATTGGTCCCCATGATCCTCTTTTTCTTATGTTAATTGAGAGCTGTGTTGATGGGATAGCCACCTGTCATTGACCACCCTGGGTGGTCTAATCCCTCCTAGCCAAACTAGTACAGATGGGTTTAAAGAGAAGGTTGAGTTCTGGGAAGAGGTGAAAAATAATTTGTGAGCGTTATCATTCTTATTATGCAAGTGTGGAAGAACATCAGATAAGACATGTTCCCTGAAAAGCATGGCTCTTCAAATGCCTTTATATTCTAAATATGTCATGTAACTCGTAAAACTCGGGGGGGGGGGGGGGTAGGTTTTTACGCCACGTGTTCGTGTAGTCCCATATACATCTTTCTGTGTACAATGTTTGTAACTTTACCAAGACTTGGCCAAATTTCTTATCATTTTTATGATTCCAGAACCTTGCATTACACACAAATTCTATTATGCTAGATGATCAACCTTTGCTGGTCGATTTCACACCGTTTCTTTCACAATGCAATTGCATGACCAGAACTCAACTTCATCTTTAAGATCATGTAAAGTGAGAAGATGAAGTTATTTATCATCTGGTGTGAGCTAGGAGGGTGTATGTATGCATAGTTAGCATCCTTCTGGATCTCAGCTGAAAACATACCCTATATCATCAGAAGAAAGGCTGTAAAATCATATTATTATGTTTTATAATGTGAGTTACCCACCTTCTGGCTCTTTGCAGATAGTATTAATTATAAAGGTTTTTTCCTCTTGGCAAGTTTTTACAAAGGTCATTAGAATTCTCCATTTTTATTTATCACAATAATGCTATTCACAAATTATTGCCCCTCTTTTTCATTTATTATTTCATTCATTTTTGTATTCATTATTTTCAATTCCAATAGAAAATCAAAAGCTTACAGAGACAAATCACAGTTTAATATTACCCTCCATAGGAGATTTTATGTTCTTGATGTGGAATTGATGAAAAGTCTAAAATACTCCAATTTTTGCTTTTGAATATATTTCATTTTAAGGCTCCAATGGCTGTCTATACTTTTTAAGTCCAACTTAGTGTTAAGTTCTACTTAGGATCTTTGTGAAACACCCCCCAGGGGTATGAATAATTCAGTTGTTCACTGTAACTGCATATTCTGTCTTCCTCCTAAATTGAATTTGAGTGTGAAACGAGCTATAAGTTTCTTTATTTGCGATCATATACTAGTGTCTCACATTAAAGTAGGTAGTGTTGCCATAATATGCTCTGAGACAATTAAAATATAATCATGTATGGAGTGAGTAATAGTGTGAAGCCATCAATAACGTATATTGCAGCCTGAGTCCTCATTCTGTAGAAACAATGGGGTTTGTAAGTATAATGACCCTAGCTGCTATACTCCTTTTGTGAGTCATTAGTCAATTAAGAAAACCCTCATCACCCGTCAAAGCAAACCGGTCATCTATTTTTAATCTGAGGATTAATTAATCCCTTCCTCTTACTAATGAAGAAGGCAGGCAGGCAGGCATGGAGGAGGGGGAGGGGGGGGGGGTGTCCCTAGGTTTGACAAATGGATTAGGGAAGCATTTGCCCCCTCTTGTACACATCAATATCATGCTCAATGTTGGTTTGGACAGCTTAAAGGGAAGTATACCAGATGTGAAAGAAGATTTGAATAGAAGCTGAAAATGAGAGAAATATATAGGCACAGTGTGCAAAATTGGGGTCAGGGGAGGGGTGGGTTGGGGGGGGGACAGGAGAGGGAGGCATGTGTTGCCCCCCCCCCCTTCCCCCTCAAAATCCAATGTACCATGATAAAATACACATCATAAGAAATGCACAAAATTATATAATGTGTTCCCCCATCAAAATGTGATAAATTTTCTCCCCTTTTGCGTGCTTATCAGAATATTTGTGAACTTGTACCTTCTGGTGAAAATGTGAAAATCTTTTTAGTCTGAACTCTTTACATGAATAGAAGGTTTATCAAAATAGATAAATGCCATACTGTGATCAGTAATATTATTATTGGCTTGAGGATAATATTATACAGTATGATGATTATAGTCAATTACATTAAATTTTCTGCACAAAAGATCATCATTTGCAATTCAGAAATAAAATGTGTTAGTCGGGTTCGTAATCTCAGACTTTTGTTCAAAGTCTCAGATTTCAAATTTTGTAGTTCAGCATCAGTCCATAATCACAATATCTGGAGGATCAGAAAAATATCTGAATCAGAAAGTTCTTTCTGTTCATTCTTTTATTGTACATGTCATTTGGATATGTGTAATTTGTTTTATATCGGCCTTCCTCAAAATCCAATACCGGTAGCCTGTCTGCAACGAGTTCAGAATACGGCAACTTGATCGGCTCATCGCTCTTCGTAGTAGATCAAACAGTATTTCAGTTATTTAAATCTCTTCATTGGTTATCAGTCACAAAAAGAATCATGTATAAGCTGTAACTCATTACTTACAAAACACTTCTTCATTCTTCACCCCATTACTTGTATCCGATTTGAAACCGTACACCCCACAACAGAATTTACGTTCAGGTTCACAGCTCATGTCATGTACACCCAAAACCAATAACAAATGGGGGGACAGGGCTTTTGCTGACATATTGCACCCAAATTATGGAACACTAATTATTTTGATATTGTACAGAAGTGCCTGTCATTATATATGCAAAATATGTATTATAAAAACATAACTGGGAAATGCTTTCTATGTGAATCTGGATTCAAAACTACATGGACTATTGTATGTATTATAACAGCTTAAAAACAATGATTTCAATACGTAAGCAAAAGAATCAATCAGTGTTGCAACCTTTAGCGCTTGCTAATCTGATGAACAGGATATTGCATAGGTACCATTATTTCCGTTCATTTGTTGTTAGTACTGTAGAATGGCATTCTTGTGGCTTGTGAGGGCAGCATTCAACTTCAAAACTTCCTACCTTCAGAGTTTTCATATTTGCTATATTGCTTTGGAAAAAAACCCGTATTGATTTGATATTTGATTTAGAGAACATCGTATGAAGAGTCTATTAACAAACAAAGCTGTTGCATCTGACCCCTCAAAAGGTGGTGGTAAAATCAGAGGTAAAGAGGGAGATAGTAAGAAACAGACAGAGATACAGACAGCAAGAGACAGAGGCAGACGGACAGCTAGGAACTGACAGAGGGAAATATAGACCAGTAGTAAGAGAGAAATTCTACAGACAGAAAGAGAATGAAAGTGATCATGTGTATTAATTAGAAGATAGGCAGGGACATAATGATTGTAAGATTAAAGGAGAGAAGGAGAGGAGTGGGAACCATTGAATTCAGTTAGGATGGGGGCCAGGTACTGTTTGTAAACTGCATTCTGATGTTTGAACTACACTTACTTGTACCATGAAGTTGTAGAAGCAGAAGCGAACCAATTTGATTGGCTTTTTTGGCACCCTCCTTTCAGGGACTGCTGGGGTGTTTCACAAAGACTAAGATAAACTTTAAGTTGGACTTAACTATGGCAGGCCATCCATGCCACTGGTTGCTCTCATCATTATGATCTATAGATTATATTTTTCAATTCTGTAGATTGGTGACCATGATTTGTATGTCCCTTGAGAGACTGATGCCAGTAAATGATGAGAGCAAACAGTGGCATGAATGGCCTGCCATAGTTAAGTGCAACTTTAAGTCAATCTTAGTCTTTGTGAAACACTCCCCTGGTATGACTAGCTGGTCCACAACCATTTGATAACTGCTGAAGTGGCTATCATTGGCAATTGCACAAGATATGAAGGAAAAAATGGAGTGTAAATGTTAACAATTCTATTGCAAAATGAAGATTACCTTTGATTTTTAACTTTCTTTTGTTTTTTAAATTTCAATTAGGTGATGAAGAGGGAGAGGAAGAGAACATCTATGATGCTGTCAATTGATGAAAGCCAACTCCATTGGGTTAGTGGTTCCAGGAAAGAACTCTACTTAATCCGTACTTGAAGTGGAATAGCGCCCTCGGGATGTACTTCTAATTTAGTGGTTAAATAATAACACTTATCAGGATTGTGAATGAAGATCATCGAGTATGAATGAAAAGTGAATCTATGAAGTAAACCTTTGGTGAGAAAGAACTCTACTTACTCCTTACTCCAAGCTGAGGTGCCCTTCAAACGTGATTTTTATTTTTCTCATGGTCATAATATAAATTAGACTCGTGAATTAAGATCATTAATGGAATGATCAATATAGATCTATGAAGGAAAGTTTTACTTAATCTGAATTTCAAGTTCAGTTGACTTCAAAGTGTACTTTAAATTTTCACTTTGTAATAACATTAATCAGACATAAGAAGTAAGATGATGAAGAATGAATGGTTAGAGTTTGTTTGGTTGGCTGAGGATTATTGAAGAAATCTTTCTATGAGACTTAACTCTTAACTTAATCTGCTACAAGCAAAAGTGCCCCGTGTACTTTCTGATTCTAGCAATTTGCATCCATACAAACCAACCTGGAAATTTGTAGAGCGCCTGTATCTAATTGCCTAATCTAAGGCGCCCGACGAGACTGAAAAACTACTGAATATGCCATTCGTAATTTTAACCTGAGAGAGACTAGAGTAGTGGCTAGTTGTATTTAAAGCAATGTGGAATAGGTATATCTTTAGTTGGGTTTTAAAGGTGGATAGCAGGTCAGAAGAGCAAAGATACTGAGGAAAGCTAGCTGGTCCATAACCTAGGTGCAGAAGCAGGGAATGTCCTATCGCCAAGCAGAGAATGGGCTCCAGAACTCTGCACAATTGCTTTAAATCAAGTTTCGGAATCGGCAAGTTGCTAGTAACTCTTTATCCGTGTCTGTCAAATAATGAAACAAACAGTGAACCGCTAGTGTCAACTTTTGGCACACCTCAAATGTACCGTATATGGAACATTTCATCTGTTTGTAGCCCAAGGGCATAAAGTTTGTTTTAAAGTATGAGTAAAGCTCACGTAAATGTTTGGATTAATGCCCTTCTGGCTCCAAAGTAACGACATACTCCAAATAATTTAGCGTTCTATTGTTTCAATCTGTAACAAATATTTATGTCCTATCTGTGAAATTTAAACATTAGCAGTGTCCTGAATATTCAAATTATGCAAGGAAACCCGTTTACTTGCTAGACTGTAACAAATAAGGAGTGAATATTGCGTCCATTAACCTGTACTTGAACTTGATATCAATATTAGGCAATAAAATAAATGAATGACATCGCTGAGTTAATCATGATTGAAAGGATGAATACCATGCTAGGGTAATTAGTATTTAATCGTTTGTCAATTTTTATTGAGAACATAACCTGTTTACACACAAATTTAATGATGTGATAGTTTGATTTATGTAAAATACCCAGAATGAAATATCTGTCCCAAATTGTAGATGATGCTGCAGGAATTTATGCAGCTTTTAAAAATTAAAATGCGGTCTCTGTGTGCTATTGATTATTAATATGACTTCTTTAATGACAGAAACAAAATTGTCACAAATGTTCTCTGAACATATGGTAAATCATATTTTCTGGTCAGTTATCAGCTTATCTACGAAGCCTTTCAGTGGTGGATTAAGGATTTAGGAACTGCAAATTCATCTTGCTGCTTTTACATGCAATATCTGGGTTGACTTTAGAATGTAGTAGGTGTACTAAAAACCTGTTATTATATGTTGGGAGCCAGAAAAACATTACCTTTGTGTTAGATGGTATGAGTTAATGACCTTGTGGCTCTCAGCTGAGGATATTGACCTTTGACCTCTTAGAGATGGGATACTGGGGCCCTGTGTCATTAAACCTCATCAAAGAACAAGATACAGTACCTGTTATAAGCTACTGAAATCACGGCTTTTGATTGGCTGTGAGCAAATTGACATACCGGTAGAAATTTAGCATTTGTTATTGATAAAAAGTTTGTATGAAAGTGAAACAGGGCCCATGACCTGGCACACCAAACTGTGTGGGAGTTGGTAAAGATCAGGTAGCGCTCACAAAACCTTTTACTGGTACTTGAATTTTATGGGCATTTCCCCCCTCCCCCAGAAAAAAATATATAAATGAGGGGCAATTGTTTCCTGCTTTCTGGCAATGCCTTTCTAGCACAAAACAGCCCTTGCATTGATCCCGTGGTTGAAAAGTAGACAAATTATGTCATATGAAATACTTTTAAGTATATTTGCTTAATGGGAGAATTTTAATGTATTTATTTAATCGCAACTTCCATAAAAATAGAAGGTATATTTTTGTAGCCAAGCTCAGTTGAATAGTTTTATGCATAGACTTGTAGGTTTTTTACATCTCTTTTTATATACAAAACTACAGTAATATAGCATTGTAAGTCATGTAGTAATAATATTGGACTCTCAAGGTATAAGCAAAAGTTCCTTAGCATTCTTTTCAGACTATTATGTACTCAGTATTTAGATATATTAGACTTGAAAATTATCTTGAAGAAATGATGTGTTTTCTTTAATTGTACGATACTATACAGAGACGAGAATACATAAATGTTATGAACAGTACAAAACTTGTAATTATATCTTGTACAGCATACCTTGGATTATATATATTTTAAAGCATCAGTTTTATGTGTCATTATATTATATGATCATGATGTAGAGTAAGAAATATGTTTTATGTTAAATAATTTTTAAAGGATCTTTTTCAAAATATGATCATGTCTAATTTCATGCTGGTTTGATACATGTATTACATAATAATATGGCAATTTTAGACAGCTGCAATTCTATGATTTGTCTCTGAAAGATTTTTTTTTTGTGTGTGTGCAAAATCTTAAGGTCTTTTAATGTTATACAGTTCTTCTTATTATTTCATTCTTAATACAATACTATATCATGTAAACTTCATCAAGCAAATTTTTATGAATACTGTTATTTGTATGATAAATTGTTGATTTTACGTATGTTATTGATCAGAACGAAAACTAGTATTTACCGAGAGCTGTAATGGTTTAAATGCATACTTCATATATATTATGGTGAAGCCCATTAAAGATATCGTCGCTGTTTTCACGAAGTGACGGTAGTGAAAAAAAATTGCATTCACTTTCGTTACGATTTTCCTCAGTACCGTCACTTCGTGAAAACAAGGACGATATGATATCACAACTTTTTGACAAGTCCAAAATGAAATTGAAAAAAGAAAATTGAAATTGAAATTGAAATTAGCAATAATCTTATATTTTTTGTAGTAAAGTTAAAGGCTATCATGTAGAGGTGTCTAGTGGATATGTCACCAGACTGTGGATTACAGGGTTCGAGTCCCACTGTGGAATTAATGTCATTTGGCAAGACATTAATCTACATTTGCCACTCTCCACCTAGGTGAATTAAAAGGGTACCCGGTAGGACGAAATTCCTTGAATGCTTTAGTGCCTTACTATGGCAGCTCAGCTACAGCCGGGGTAATAATGTGATACTTTGTATTACGAGCAGTAGTGGCTGCACTGTATAAATGGACCTATTTTTATCATTACCAATATGCTATTACATCATACCTATATTTTAATTTGATCTGTATTCTGAGGAAATAAATGCCACCCCGCCTATGAATGAGACGATGCTGTTATTTTCTTAACTTATTTTGCAAATATTGAGTCACAACCCAACTTTCTTAGCTAAGAAAGATAACCAACAGTCCTTTTCAGGACTACAAACCCTTAAGAAAGATTACCAAGAGTCCTTTTCAGGACTCCTCAATCCTCCCTCTCTCTCACATGGTGCACCCGCAAGCCTACTGTAAACCCAACTTTTGTTAGTGAGAACTGACTCGTAGTTACGCTTTCCTCTTTGTAAGTTTTTGTAGGAACAAGCCACATCACTTTTGTTCTGCCAATAGCTACTGTTTGGGGTTTGGGGTATGTGATACTTATATCATGTAAAGGGTTTCATACTTTTTAATTCAGGTTGAATATTCTTATTTGATTTGATTTGATTTGATTTGATTTATTGGTTTCTGCATCTTTTTTTATTAAAGGTTAATGCCAATTTCCCCATAAATATCAAGAGATTACTCCTTATAGCTTGATGGGAGGATTAAAGACAATTTGCTTTCAATCATTGGGAAATTGAGACCCCCCCCCCCCCAAAAAAAAAAAAAAAAACATCAAAAAACCCAAACAAACAAACAAAATGATTTTTCTTAAATAGGTAATAAATGCGAGTGTTGAAATTGAACTAAGAAAATGCTTGGCTCAACAAATTTCTATGTTCCTTAAAGGTTTTTTTAACGAAAAGAACCCCAGTATATTGTAGAAATTATTTTCTTTCCATTATTTAGTAGTATTGGTGATGGTTGATATGCAATATTACTGAATAGAATTGTTAACTCCAAGTTTTAGTTGTATACGTCAATGATTATCTAAGGACATGCTTGCAATGCAGTAACTCCCAAACAATATGATGTATACTGAATGTGAATAACGATCTCAGAAATATAGTCTAACCACTATATTAACTAATTTTTTTTTTTTTTCAATTATTACACCCATGAAATCTTGTGTTGTAGTTCTAGATTTATTTCATATTTTGCCTTATAAGTTCATAATATTAAGTGCTGTAGAGTGTAGTTCAGGCAAAACATTGACCTTTTTCTTAAATGTTATTATATATTGTCTTCACTCTTGCTCAGACACAATAAACAACTTGTTATTTTTTCACAAGGAAAATACTGTATTTTACAGATAATAAATCTTATCTTTTATTTTGTATGTATTTTGCAAGTAAATGCATTATTATGAACCATGGGGTTTGGGGCAAACTTTACAATTTTTTGTAATATTATAAAATTTAAATTTGTGACAATGAGTTGAGTGATATATTTTTGTACTGCTAATATACTTTCTAACAATTTGTGTAGAATAATTGTCAAACTAGATAATGTGAATGTATATTTCAAAATAATTATTTTGTATACAATTAAATGATGTCATTTATGCAATGCTAAGCACGATTGTGATATTGTTGTTTATTCTGTTCATGTCCCCCCCCCCCCTCTCTCTCTCTCTTTCTTTCTCTCTCTTTCTCTCTCTCTCTCTCTCTCTCTCTCTCTCTCTCTCTATCCCTCTCTGTATCTATTTATTCTCCCCTCCCTTTCTCCCTCCTATTGGCTTCCTCTCTATCCCTCTCTAACACCACTCTCATACAGTCTCCTTATCTCTATATCAAACTCTCTCTCCCATCTTTGTCTCTATCCTCTCTTTATCTCTCTCTCCCTCTCTCTCTCTCTCTCTCTCTCTCTCTCTATCCCTCTCTGTATCTCTTTATTCTCCCCTCCCTTTCTCCCTCCTATTGGCTTCCTCTCTATCCCTCTCTAACACCACTCTCATACAGTCTCCTCATCTCTATATCAAACTCTCTCTCCCATCTTTGTCTCTATCCTCTCTTTCTCTCTCTCTCTCTCTCTCTCTCTCTCTCTCTCTCTCTCTCTCTCTCTCTATATATATATATATATATATCTCTCTCTATCCCTCTTTATCTCTCTCTGTATCTCTTTATTCTCCCCCTCCCTTTCTCCCTCCTATTGGCTTCCTCTATATATCCCTCTCTAACACCACCCTCATACAGTCTCCTCATCTCTATATCA